CCCCGGTCCTGACCGATCATCCCAGCTCCTCCAGGGCCCAGTTCACCCTTGTTGGCTTCTCTACACATAAACAATACACACAGCCATGACGTTTGATCAGCCTGTTTCAGTTTGTTGAAGCTGAGACCCCTGAAGCTTGGCCATGGGCGTTTGGACATCTGGAGCAATGTCATTTTCCATTTGAAACAGATTGGCTTGTCAAAGTGAATCTGTGAGCAGTTAATAGATAACACTCCGTTCTTAAGCCTAAACAGGCACATAATTCAGGTTTTATTGACTTCCAGTGGCGGCCTGTTAGAGGACACAAAGGAAGCAGGGCCTCCTAAAAATTTATTAAAATATTACCTGTAAATTTCTACATATATGGCCTAAGTCAAAACTAAACAAACTTTCAAATTAACTGTTTAATTTAACCTAGCCTTTTCTAATTCATTTAAATATATTCATATATCTTTGAAACGTATTTATTTTCGTATTTTATTTACATTTTTCTTTCATGCCTATAGGCACAATTTTGCTAAGCTCTGCCCATGGTTACTGTTGCTCAGCTTCATTTTAGTGTATCTTGAGAACATGAACTTATCCAATTATATAGAGGTAAAGTTGTATTTGTTGTCGCTGTTCTCTTTTTGACCAATTTGAATATCCTTTCATGTGAAAAAAATACTGCTTATATCATCTCTGGGCACCTTCACTGTAAAAGAAAAAAAAAGACCATAATCTTAATGTAAAAATACTGTAAAATACTGCTAAATGTGAAGTTTTGGAAGTGAAAAAGAATAAGTCATCTTAAAATTTACATTGAAAGCCCTGTGAATTGACATTTCCAGAATCCCCTGTGTGGCACTTCACATTTGAGGGTTTTGATTGAAATAACTGTTTATTTTATTCTCCTTCCTATCAGTTATGTATCTATTATGATTTTATGTTAAAGCTTATGTTAAATTAATATTTACTGCATTATTTTAGTGTCATGTGCCACCATGCCACCAATGCTACTTGTTTATTCATATTCGTTTATTACCGCCTGCATGTTTTGATGGTTGTCACTGTATGATTAAGACTACAAAACAGATTTTAGTAATACTGTAGGTTGGTAAATGAATGTTATATAAATTAATAAAATATGCAGATTTTAACATATCATTTTAGGTTTAATCTGTAAAACCTAAAACGGTTGCTGCTGTATTTTTACAGTGAATTTCTGACAACCACAGGAGACAGGAGAGGGGTTTTTTGCAACATTTTATCACATTTTTGAGATAATTTCAGCTGATTTACACAATTTTCCATAATTTACCAAATTTTAAAAACTGTGACAGAAAATTATTTAAAATTATTTAATTGCATTAAATTAAAAAGTAACATTCTCTTAATTTTAATCTGTAAAACCTAAAACGGTTGCTGCTGTATTTTTACAGTGAATTTCTGACAACCACAGGAGACAGGAGAGGGGTTTTTTGCAACATTTTATCACATTTTTTAGATAATTTCAGCTGATTTACACAATTTTCCATAATTTACCAAATTTTAAAAACTGTGACAGAAAATTTTTTAAAATTATTTAATTGCATTAAATTAAAAAGTAACATTCTCTTAAGTAAAACTCTTATTGTGCCCTTTACAGTATGTGCAGCTTTCTGTTGGTCCAAGTAACTAATACCAGAGCCATATATTCATTTTATGCCTCTTCCTTTTTAACACAACCAACCTGAATGTTTTTGTGTTTATTTAAGCCCGCCTGAAGGGCCTTGATAAGATAAATGTCTTGAATAGATTTCATATACTGGATTATCTATGTTCTTGCCCTTGTCCTTGGAATACAACAGGTCAAATGCATTTGTGCTATTTTTGCAAGAGAAAACAACTGGATGAAGTGCTTGCGTCAGTCTCCACTGTTTTGAAATTGTCCCTTCAAAAGCACAGTTGTCTCAAAGTCTCTGAAAACTGACGACAGAAGGGTTAAAACCCACACACACACACACACACACACACACACACAATGCCCTAAACTGGATTTATTTATGCATCTGCCCACCATGTCTATTTTAACCCTTCTCTTTCTTCTGTACTGAATGAAAAGGAGGATATTGTAGAGAATACTTTGCATTTCAGGTCATTTATTGAGTTGCTAGCCTGAGGATAGCTTATCAATGCTGGACCGACAATGCATTGCCATAGAGGGAACCAGTACATGAAAAGCCCTCAGGAAAAAAGCAGCGATCACGTTCCTTTACTATGCTATAGCTTAATATGCAGAGACATCTGTAATTAGGCCATTTACAAGCAGATTGGTAAATCTGTGGAGATTTCAATATAGGAGTTTGAGGTGGCGAGCCTTAAATATCTCCATCCATACCTACATATTATGCTCATGTAGGGAGAATTTGCTAAACAAAGAATCACTGTAACTTGACTCTAGAAGGTAACTCATTATCATGTGGGAAAGTTTGGTGTTTACAGACTCTCAAGTGGGCACTGTAGTACTGACTCATGTTTTATCATTGAATAGTTCACTAGTATACAGTCATGTTATTTTTCCTTGGATACACTGAACACAGGGGGCTTTTTCTTTTTCATGAAAAAGAGATACTAAGAGATTTATTTTATTCAGGCCTAAACTCTGCCCCCTAATGGCACAGCCTTCAATAGATTCCGAACTGATTTGGCCATGCACACAGAATGTTGAATTCAAATTGACTGAAGTGCATTTCAAACAAATTGACACCCAAGCACACAACAGAAGAATGTAATTATTTTTAAATAGCTTAAAATTTTTTGCAACATAAAGAAATGAATGAATAAATTACATTTTAAAAAAATAATAATTAAAGGGGTCCTATTATGCTTTTTCACTTTTTCAACTTTAGTTAGTCTGTAATTTTGCTGTTTGAGCATAAAAAAGTTCTGCAGAGTTACAAAGTCCACTTCAAAAGGAGATATTTTATTTAACGGAAATCACTTTTCAAAAACTACAAACTAACTAAAGTTGAAAAAGTGAAAAAGCATAATAGGACCCCTTTAATTATTATTTTTTTCACCCTTTTGCTGGTTTATGCTGGTCCTTGCTGGTTTATGCTGGTCCTTTGCTGGTTTATGCTGGTCCTTTTGCTGGTTTATGCTGGTCATGTGCTGGCAAAGGACCAGCAAAATAGGGCTGAGTGTAGGTGTTACGTTATTTTCAAATGCAACAGAGCATTATTAGCGCCACTCACTGGACATTATTATAAATATTTTTATACTAACTGAACATACTAACAAAATAGTAGCCGTATAGTGGCACAAAATGTCCACTACCTTGTTTTCAGGTAACTTATACAAATAAATAAAAAGGATTATTCTGCTCATATGCCAGTTCACATATCAGGGTAAAACTGCCATTCGTTGCTGTTTTAAAAAAAAAACATATTCCGGGAAATAAAAACCCGAGAGAGAGATTTCACTTTAGGAAAAACTGAACCTGACTTTTATCTACCTAGGATGCACATTTGGGCTCTGTTTATTGCTGCTTGCATCTATATGCCTAATTTAGGATCTGCAGTTTTCACCCTCCAGCACATGTCCTGACATGTCTCTTTATTAACACAGTAAAACACACACAAACGCCAGAACAGGCTGACTGACCTGGTCCTAATCTTGTACTACTAACAGGTTTGTCCAAGGTCATAAACAGGGGAGAACTCATAGTCTAAACAATGAAAGTGTTATGGTGTTACAGCGTAGTACGAATACGGCAGAGCCTTCAGACCATGAAGCATTGGGGTCTAAAAAACAACCTCTTTTTTGGCCTCTTTCATTCAAAGTTTAGACAATTTTAAGAAAACATCCGTGCTCCATACGGCAGGCTCTCCCCCGTCCCTTTAATCTCTGGCAGAAAAAGACCTTTCACAAAAACGTGCTAGGGAATCTGTCATGGTAGAACAAAGGCAGGGAGGAAATCATGTAGATAGTGGCACAGGGATCTGTAATTTATCACCAGTGAGCCCTGGGCGGTCTGCCGTGACAAGGGCTTTGAAGACGTGTGCACTGGGCCCCTCGAAGCGTGCATGAAGGAATGTGTGGATAGAAGAGAATGGAAGATGACAGTATCTCACATTTCAAAAAGAATGGTATCAACAAAGCCAAAGATATGCAACAAACACTTTTATTAAGTTTTATTAAGAAAATACACTCTAAAATTTTAATACAACACTCATCCAATACAGCAGTGATCCTTGGCTGATTAATGACTTGTCTGCATCAATTAAATATATATTAAATATACAAATAGAATTAAACAAATTAATAAAATGCAGCCAATATTTTAATCTTTGATCAAAAATATGTTTTGCTTTAGATGAAGTACAGCACGTCACTGCAGAAACCTGAAAAATTTTGATCACGTGGAGTTAGACTGCCACCGTGTGTTCATATAGCTACACTGGAGTAAGTTTTTCATATAAATATGTGTGTGTGTGTGTGTGTGTGTGTGTGTGTGTTTTATATATAATGATATATGTCATAATAATAATTAAATGTTTAACACAACATCTAAAACATGTCCAGTTCATAAAAAATAAAAACATATAACATTCTTTTTATATAAACAACATTTTTCATATAAAAATGAAGCTATTCATGCCAATCTTTTGCATTGTGACTCCCCAAATGTACACATAAAAGATTTTTATTTACTGTAATAGTACTTGGAATGTATTGTGGTAAATAGATCAACTGTAGATACTTAAAAACAATATGATACAACACTATATTTTATTCATTGAAATCAGCATAAAAGCAGTTCAAACAAACACATTCATGTTGTTGAAATACTTAACCATTTAAATAATAGTTCTATATTGTTTTCTGTTTTCGGTATTTTTTTTCATTGCAGGTCCCTAACTGGAAATGCTTTTTAAATTTCTCATATATGAAGTAATTTCTCATGTCCTTATTTTGATTGTGTGGTGAATCGTGACGGGCTTCGTGAGATGCGTCATGACGTCAGTTCAGTGTCGCGAGCACGCAGGGTCGTGTTGTTAAACAGGAAACGGTGAGAGGCGTTAGCAGCAGTTAGCCTGTTGGCTACCAGCACTGCGCACACAAGCGAAATCAGAGCATAGCGTTTATCTGAAGAAGGGGATAAAGAGTATCGTTTGCCCGGTTGATTGGTTTCATCGGTGGGAGCGACATGTCAGAGACGTACGGTAATGACAGCTCATTTGTGTTGTTGTTAGCGCGTTTACAGCTAGCGAGAGCAGACGATTTCTGACTCCAAACCTGACGTTTTTACGCAAAAAGCTATTATTAGTACAATCATATACCTTTAGAGTCATTACTGGAATTCTGGCCTGCGCTGGTTGTGTGTAAATATGTGTTTATTGGGTAATTTCAACACTCTCAGATGGGCCTGTCAAATCGGCTTGTACTGGTTACGATGATATCTGAAATAATGTGTACATAAATATGTTTGTGTATGCCGGGCAAGAGCTGCTCAACTGATTTGATCATTGATAAATATTCCATACACTAATATATTCATCGCTGTAAAACTCATTTCCTGTCTACTTAGAACTGCTGTAAGTCATTTATTTTAATGTCATACAATACTACACAAATAGTATCCTTACTATCGTACAGAGAAATCAGACGTGTGTTTGACAGTTCTAGGCTCCGTAGGCAGCAGTAAAGCTGAGGGGTGCGGTCCGCTCTTATTTAGCCAATCAAAAACCTTCTCGGCCTGTCAGTCAATTAGAGTGAATTGTTACTCTTTTTTTTTTTTTTCATCAGTATTGTGAGAAATAAACTCGCAATTGCAAGTTCCAATGTCAGAGTTGCGAGATATCGGCTAAACTCGCAATTATTATTAATTAGTATATCAATTATGATACTTTTTTTTCCCCTCAGAATTACACGTTTCTATCTCACAGGTCTGACTTTATAACAATTGCGAGTTATAAAGTCAGAATTGTGAGATATAAACTCTGAGGAAAAAAAAGTAATAATTGCGAGTTTAGCCGATATCTCGCAACTCTGACATTAGAACTTGCAATTGCGAGTTTATATCTCTCAGTTCTGAGAAAAGAATGTAGAATTCTGAGATATAAACTCGCAATTGCGAGAAATAGTCAGAATTGTGAGATATAAACTAAATTCTGAGAAAAAATGTTTCCCTCAGAATTGGACTTTATAACAGTCGTAAGTTATAAAGTCAGAATTGTGAGATATAAACTAGAGGTCGACCGATGTATCGGTTTTGCCGATTAATCGGCACCGATAGTTGATTGCTGGAACTATCGGTTATCGACAAAAATCCATGCCGATAGTTTTCCGGGTTGCGTCCATTGCTGGAGCGGCTGAGAAGGGTCTGCTGTCATTACACAGTGCGAGAGTGGCCTCTAGTGGTTGAAATCACTGACAGCATGTGCTATTTGTTTAGACACGTGATACTGCACGCTGAACAGAGCGGGAGACTTCAGACGTGGATTTAAATGCAGCTGACAGAAAATCCTGCCGCGCCACAGAGCGCCATTCACATAGTTTTCCTTTAAATTACATTATATTGGTCCCGAATCGTTGTTAACGTACATAATGAATTGTGTACTGTGCATTTTCAGCAAAACGTTTGTCTTTCTGTGGCTCTAATAAAGTCTGTGTGCTTCATTTATAGAGCTATAATATAGGTCGCGCTTTCTCTTTCCGTTTGCTCCGTTTTTTTTAAACACCGAACATCAAACTCATCCATGCCAAATTGTTCATTCTTGAAGTAAACTTGTGTCAGTTTGGTGATTAAATAAACTGTTTTAGACCGCTGCTCTACGAACGCGAAGCGTCCGGAGTGTGTGTGATACCGGTGAGTTCTCCTAGACTCAGCGCTGCGCTTTTATTTTGATTGGATAATCATCAAGTGTTCAAGAATAGAAGCAGTTAAAGTGTGAGAGTATACATACAATATCCATATGTATATCATTTTAATGCTATAGCCTTTGTGTATATATTTAAAGATGTGCATCTTTAAGCATGACAGTTGAAATGAAATGGTAACACTTTAAAATTAGAGTCCATTTGTAGCATTAAGATTAATGAAAGCTGTGTAAGTATTGTTCCTTGTTAGAGTGTGTTAATTTCAACATTTACTATTATTTTATTTTTTTTACTACTAGTATGGTTCAGTACTGTTTTGTTAATAAAGCACTATTTTAGTTTTTGTTCAGTATCAATTTTAAAACAATCGGTTAATTAATCGGTATCGGCCAGTGTGGTCCAACCTAGCTATCGGTATCGGCAAAATCCACTGTCGGTCGACCTCTAATATAAACTCACATTTCTGACTTTTTTTCTCATAGTTGCGAGTTTAGACCTATATCCCGCAATTCTGAGAAAAAAAGTGGACTTTATAACTCGCAATTGTGAGTTTATATCTCACAATTCTGAGAAAATAACTTAGAATTCTGAGATATAAACTCGCAATTGCTAGAAATAAAGTCAGAATTGTGAGATATAAACTCACATTTCTGAGTTTAGGCCTATATCCCGCAATTCAGAGAAAAAAGTCAGAATTGGGAGATAAAGAGTCAGTTACCTTTTTATTTCATATTCAGTGACGGAAACAGACTTCCATAATTTATCAACTTTCTCTGCACCATTAGCAAAAACTGAACATTTTTTGTGTATCATTGAATCATTCACTTAACCGATTCATTACAAATACTAAGTCATATATATTCAAATGAGTTTTTCCATATATCTCGTAAGCACTTTGCTACAAATGATGACAATTCATGTCTTTTTTCCCTCCATTTTGTCCACTCTTGGGCATGACTTTTATCAAGATGTGGGGAAAAAGGCATAAATGAATTAATAGTTTTAATAATAATAATATCCTTGTCATTTTATTTGTTTGGACATTAGTCATTTTAACACAATCATAATCTCTTTCTTATTTTAAATGAGATTCGATTTCTTTTGTTCAGTAAGAAGATACTTGTTCACGTACAGTTTTGTTGTTTGTGCAGTTCGTTCATGAATAAGTTGCTTTGTTAGCAGATTGGATGGGTTTTTGAACAGTGACTGAAATCACTTACAGCAGCTTTAATAGAAACTTGACGCCTGTGGTTTTAGGATAGTTTGTTTCATTGCACTGACTTTGTGCATGTGCTTTCCGTCATCAACATCACGCATCATTGTTCTGCATGAACTGTGTGTAGCTGTTTCATTTTTACACACTGAGAGAAAATCACTTCTTCAAACAAGCACCACTTGTCCTTGCTGTTGTGAGCACTGATCAGTTGAAAAGGGAATGTTTACTAGAAGAGGTACTGTATTTTTCTTCTTTAATGTTAGTGTAACACCACCACTACTAATTATTTTATTACTGATATTAATGTTTTTATGCACATTTTGCAGTATAGCTGCAGTATTATGCAATATCCTGCATAAAATCTAATTACATTCTTAATACACTTTCCTGCTCTAATTGTTAAAGGGATAGTTCAACAAAAAAAAAATCTATATTTAATTACAACGACATGCCATTGTGAGTTTTTTCACTCAAATTTGCAACTAAAAATAGGTATTTTCAAACCGTAAAATATTTAGTATGTGTGCGAGGGGGAAAAGGGGTCCTTAAAGAGATAGTTCACCTTCAGTCGCTGAAGAAAAAACAAACACCATGCAAGTCAATAGGGACCAACTGAAGGTGAACTATCCCTTTAAAAAGTTACTGGAAAAAAAAGTTTTCAGTTTTGTGAAATTTAAGTTGATCCGTTGATGGATGTTCTTCCAAAGAAAACAAATGTTTGTCTTCATAATCAATGGGTCATATCTTGTTCAGTCTATATTTAATTACAACGACATGCCATTGTGAGTTTTTTCACTCAAATTTGCAACTAAAACTAGGTATTTTCAAACCGTAAAATATTTAGTATGTGTGCGAGGGGGAAAAGGGGTCCTTAAAGAGATAGTTCACCTTCAGTCGCTGAAGAAAAAACAAACACCATGCAAGTCAATAGGGACCAACTGAAGGTGAACTATCCCTTTAAAAAGTTACTGGAAAAAAAAGTTTTCAGTTTTGTGAAATTTAAGTTGATCCGTTGATGGATGTTCTTCCAAAGAAAACAAATGTTTGTCTTCATAATCAATGGGTCATATCTTGTTCAGTCTCTGAAACTTTGCATTTAGGTTGACGTCACCAAGACTCTCACAGAAACATCACTTATCATGATACAATCAGTTACCAATGGATAAAATCCTTTAAATAGTTTCACTCAGAAATGTCACATTATACTAAATTAAAATGGCTTGTGAAAGCAGTTTCATGTTGACTTTTCAGTGCCCTAAAGTCTGTGTTATAAATAGCATTCTGCTCTTACTGTTATCAACAGTGTCTATCCTTTATTCACAGTATGCAAATGCAGTATACAAATTCCATATAAATGGAATGATACCAATATAAAATAGTACAGCATTTGCCAAAATATACAGTATAAAATGGAGCATACTGCAAGCAATAGGCCTACTTTATCCCAGTTATTCCACTTGATTTTCCATGTCTAGTATGATATATAAATCAGATATATTATCAACCCTGACTCTTAACTTCTCTTTCTCAACATGCAAATAGCAGTGCAGTATATACTGTGCAATAAAAGACACACTAACATTTTGTGAATGTAGCCATAAAGCATGTGTGGCTCCTTTAAATCACTGGTTGAAGGCTTCAGACATGTCTTTTGTCTGATTATTGACTGATGTATTTGTGCTGTAGATGCTAAAATATTCATGTAGTTAATGTGGATAGTAGTTTCATGTTGCAGAAATCTCTCCCTCACTCTCATCTCTTCTTTCTCTCCTCCAACCCCCATCAATCCCCTGTGAAACTGAGTCCGTTTCAGTGCACTTGGCCTACAAATCACCTTTCCATGCCAATAGAAAAAGAATGACCATCTTGCCCTGGCACTGTAATTGCTCTACTATGGCGTATTGATATCCTTAGCCAATCTCCAGGGGCACACTTAACGACAATCCATCACTCGTTCAGGACACCCTACTAGAATACTGATCATCTTTTTAACATGAGTTCACTCTAGCATTTGTCATGAGTGACATACAGTATGATTCATCTGTCCCACTGTAGCAGATCAAGCCCCAAAGACACTGAAATAATCTCTTATACTTGTTTTTTCCCACTAAATACTGCATATTATTT